CATTTGCCGCCAGTTGTCGGGAATTACCATCATACACAAGAAGGCAAACACTATTTGGACTACAGCCTACTTTCTGAATCTAGTTTTCTGGTCCTGGGGCCATTCCCCCACCATCCTACCCCCTCTAATTCTGAAAGAAAAAGATCTAGGACAAATAAAAGGGAGTCTTAATTTGCACAATGGGAGTCAACTTAAGGGACTCATTATCCCAAGTGGTGGTACAGTTTTAAGCTATAAATAGGTTTTTAAAGACAGGTTTAGCTAAACCCTTAGATGGCAGGGGCATGGAGGGAGAAGGCAGACATGAGCCCCAGAGCACCCACCTGCCGCCTGCCTGCTCTCAGCCCAGCTGCCCTCCTGGGGCGTCTAGTACAATAGAGGGAGCACTGGACTGGGAGCTTGAAGCCCAGCTCTGCTGATGATCAAGCACATGACATGGGATGGTGACTTCACTGCTCTTGAGCCTGTTTCCTGATCCATAACATGGAATTTGAGAGTATCTAGCACCTCTGGTTGCTGGTTGTAGTTTAAAAATTCATATATTAGCCAGGCGTGGTAATGTGCGTCTGCAGTTCTGGCTACTTGAAAGGCTGAGGCAGAAGGATCGCCTGAACCCAGCAGGTCAATGCTGGGGTGACTGTGAGTGTGCCACTGAACTCCAGCCTGGGCGACGGAGTGAGACTCCAACTCAAAAAAAAAAAAATCATATAAAGCCCCTGGTACTTGGTAAGTGCTCAGTAAACACTCACTAGTATGATTATTATCTACAGCAGGAGCTCTGTCCTGGACTCATAGCCCTTTCCACCAGACCAGGAAATGTACTGTGTAACCTTGAGTGAGTCACTTCTACTCTCTGGGCTTTAATTTCCTCATCTATAAAATGGGAAAATAGTAACCACCCTGCCCTGACTCAGGAAAAGAAAAAGTATCATCTAAGAACCAGATATCATTATTATTACATGAGAAATAGTACAGCACCAGGACTTCGAGACTAGCCTAGGCAACATAGTGAGACCTCGTCTCTACAATAAATCAAAACATTAGCCAGGTGTGGGTGTGCATGAGTCCCAGATACTCAGGAGGCTAAGGCAGAAGGTTCAACTAAGCCTAGGAGGTCCAGGCTGCGGTGAGCTGTGATTATGTTATGCAATCCAGCCTAGACATCAGAGGGAGACCCCAAACCCCCCCAAAAAAGTACAGCAACCTACTACAAGTATGGAGTCTAGAACCAGATTGCTTAGTTTTTAATCCCAGCTCCACCCCTTAGGTCAATTTCTTTACTGTACTGTGCCTCAGTTTTCTCATATGTAAAACAGAGATAATAATGACAACTACCTTATAGGGTAGTTATGAGGATCAAATAAATCAATGTAGATAAGGTGCTCAGAACAGCGATTGACACAGAGCATTTTAAGCATTATGATTACAAAGCATACTTGACATGGTACCTAAATTGCTTCGGGCTTTGGAATCAGGCAGACCTGGTTCCATATCCCAGTTCCATCCTCTTGGCTATGTGACCTTGGACGAGTTACTTCCCCTCTCTGAGCCTCAGCTTCCTCTACTCTACACTGGAAAATAATAACCCCTGCTTCCTTAAGATACCATGACACAGCAAAGCACACATAGTGCCTGGCATGATTCCTGTTCTTTCCCTCTTGGCTCCTCTCCTCTAGTTTTCTCGATGGTCCATTCTGACCCAGAGCCCCTTCGCTGCTTCCAGAAGTCTCCCTGGCAAAGCTGAGGCCAGAACTACAAGCTGCACTCTGGATGGAAGAACCCTGGAGTTGCTTGGTAATGGGATTCCGAGCCAAGAGACCTCCAGCCATGAGTTTTCCCTCACTGGGCCTTAGGCCCCCTTCTGTTCCTTGATGAAGCTGTTGCCTTCCATACCATGACATCCTGCAATCCTGAAATGTGGTGGCACGAGATTAGGGCTGAGTCTTAGTAGGGCTGGAAATGGGTGCTGTGTGCTACTCTTGAGTACGCTGACTTTGGGGGAGGTACTGTGGTCGAGTCAGGAAGCATCCTACTGGCATTGGGGGCAGGGTGCCTCTGCAGCGCTGAGGAATGGGGTCCAGGTTGGAGAACTGCCATTGTGCTGGTGCTGACCCAGCTCTCTAGGGCTGCTCTGGGGCCTGGTCCTGCTGAATGGGAGGGATGGAGGGGGGACATGGGGCCTCACTCAGCCAGAGGCCCTTCTGCTCTCTTCCCCCTATCAAAGAGGGAGGACTAGGAAAAAGAAACCTTGCCTTGAGAGGACCAGGTAAGCCCCCTCATAAGTGGGTGCACAAAGGACAGAACAAAATCCTCTGTCCTTTGCACTCCAGTCTGGGTGATGGAGTGACTCCAACTCAAAAAAAAAAAATAAAATAGGCTTTCTTAGCCGGGCTCGGTGGCTCAGCCTGTAATCCCAGCGCTTTGGGAGGCTGAGCTGAGTGGATTGCCTGAGCCGGCGGGTTCGAGACCTGCCTAGGCAACTTGGCAAGGACTCATCTCTACAATAAATCAAAAGTTAACCGGGCGTGGTAGCACGCGCCTGTAGTTCCAGCTACCTGGAAGACTGAGGCCGAAGGATCGCTGGAGCCCAGCAGGTCGAGGCTGCGGTGGCTGGGAGCGGCCACTGCACTCCAGTCTGGGCGACAGAGTGAGACTCCAACTCAAAAAAAAATAAAAAATAAAAATAAAATGAAATAAAGTAAAATAGGCTTTCTGTATAGTTTTTTTAGGTTCTTTCCCCCCAAATTTGTATTATTATTTCTGAGTTGGAATCTCACTGTAGTCCAGGCTGGAGTCTTGACCTGCTGGCCTCAGGTGATCCTTTCACCTCAGCCTTCCAAGTACTGGAACTACAGGCCCATGCCACCATGCCTGGATAATTTTTTGACTTATTGTAGAGATGAGGTCTCACAAAGTTGCTCAAGCCAGTCTCAAACCCCTGGCCTCAGACAATCCTCTCCTCGGCCTCCCAAAGTGCTGGGATTATAGGCGTGAGCCACTGTGCCTGGTCCAAATTTGTATTTTTTTTTTTTTTTTGAGTTG